ACACCTCAACATAAAGAAAACAAAAATCCTCACAACTGGACCAATAAGCAACATCATGATAAACGGAGAAAAGATTGAAGTTGTCAAGGATTTCTCTTTACTTGAATCCACAATCACCACCCATGGAAGCAGCAGTCAAGAAATCAAACGACGTGTTGCATTGGGCAAATCTACAGCAAAAGACCTCTTTAAATAAGTGTTAAAAAGCAAAGATGTCACTCTGAGGACTGAGGTGCGCCTTACCCAAGTTGTGATATTTTCAGTCACTTCATATGCATGCGAAAGCTGGACAATGAATAAGGAAGACTGAAGAAGAATTGACACATTTGAACTATGGTGTTGGCAAAGAATATTGAATATGCCATGGACTACCAGAAGGTCAAACAAGTCTGTCTTGGAAGAAGTACAGCCAGAGTGCTCCTTGGAAGCAAGGATGGTGAGACTTCATCTCACAAACTTTGGACATGTTATCAGGAGGGACCAGTCCCTAGAGAAGGACATCATGCTTGGTTTAGTAGAGGGTCAGCAAAAAAGAGGAAGACCGTCAGCAAGATGGATTGACGCAGTGGCTGCAACAATGGGCTCAAACATACCAGTGATTGTGAGGATGGCACAGGACCGGGCAGTCTTTCATTCTGTTGTACATGGGGTTGCTATGAGTCAGAGCCGACGCGACGGCACCTAACAAGCTAATGTCAAGGTTTTCCAACTATAAACCTCTCATTTCCAAACAAATTAAAGGGTTTCTTATAGCAGCTGCCTTCAGAGGGAAGAGGATTGAAGAAGGGCTTGTTATTACTGAAGTCATCGAACTAGAGAATTGGAGGTCTGATTCTCCAGGATACTGCCTCACCTGTCTGTCCCCGAAGGCACTACCTCCGCAGTCGGCACCGTGATGCTATCAATCAAACACTGTTAAAATTAGGGGTGCTGTGCGAACGTGGGAAAATATGAGGAGACCTGGCACCCTTAGAGACCTAGCCAAGAGGGTTGACATCTGCTCTCCTGATCAAGGCTTACTTTTCAGAGAACAGCCGAGTACACGCTCTGCTATTATGCAGAACTGACATTTTTAAAGCCCTTTTAAGTAAGTTCAACACAGAGGAAGCCGTTATTATGATTTTTATCATTATTACAACTGAAGTTGATCTTAATTTACTATATCACTCTGGGTAGAGCATATTATAATCAACTCTTGTTGGGGGAGGCAGTACACGTCTATGATTATTCAGCACCGAAGCTTTGGAAGGAGCCCTGTTGGCATAGTGGTTAAGAGCTCGGCTGCTAACAAGAAGGTCAGCAGTTCGAATCCACCAGCCACTCCTTGGAAACACTATGGGGCAGTTCGACTCTGTCCTATAGTGTTACTATGAGTCGGAATCGACTTGATGGCAACGGGTACAGGTAAGCTTCGGAAATGGTCATCCTTGAGTTCAAATTCCAGATCCAACACTTGCTGGCTGTTTGTCCTTGGGAAAGCTATTATACCTCTCTGAGCCTCAATTTTTCAATCTGTCCGTTGGAGACAAGAAAGCTTAACCTTTACAGGTTCTTTTTTGGATTCGATGGTACCATGGTATAAAGCTCTCAGCACAGCATCTGGCATAATCCTTTTATTCGATAAATAAATACTCAGAGAATAAAAGAATGAAGAGATGTTTGCATGAATGAATGAATATTTCCTCACCCTGGATACAGAAGTGTCATATACTGATAACCGTAAATCATGTCATATATCTGACTCATTTTAAAAAACCAGGTTGTTTTCCATGGGTTATTTAAATCAAAAGAGATTTTCTGGGACATAGAAAGCCTACCTCCAAGCATATAAACTAGTTCCCTGGGGCTTCTCCCTCTGTTAGGACTTTTGATTTGATTTTATTTCTTTTATTTTAACATGTTTGCATAGCTACCAGATGTTCAGGTTGGCTATCATTTAACTGTATGTCTTTGAGTTACTGTGAGAATATATCCTAGAGCACACAGCATCGCTAATATTATCCCGTGAGGTACTCTGTGGTTAGCTTCTTTTCCCTCAGAAGCAAGGAAGTGGGTTATCATTAGCACACAGAAGGGAACCAGCCACTTCCTTCCTCCGCCCTCCTCCCACCCACCCCAACCCAGCCCCCGAGGGGCTCACACAGGCCACACACACACACACACACACACACACACACACACACACA